GGTTTCAGATTTTTCATTTTATATTACAAAATTTTATTGTCGTGATTTTATGAAAATGTCTGTCATATTTTGTTGAGGTAAAAACTAGTTCTGTATGTTACTTGATGCTTTAGTATTTATTTCCCTTTTCATTTTATTTTTCATTCTTCGATAAACGAGCATTTAATGCAGGTAGTTCTAGTGTTAAGTTATACCCTGTATACTTGATTCTTAACCGCAGCAACTGAAATTAAACAATCTATATTAGAACAACGAGAACGGATCAAGAAATATACGGAATTCACGTGAATGTTGATAATTGTTTTCTATTAAGTACGATACAATAATTATAATAATTTAGTACTCTCCCACGTTCTTTACACGCATTCCTAAACTCCATCGCTTACAATGTATTCTCAGCTTGAAGATCGAACGATAAAAACTAGTCACGTTTATTGCCACGCTACAATGTATAATCGAACGCTACATAGAGTATTAAAAACTATGAAAGTAAGAAGCTTACGTGAGTAAAAAAAAGAGGAAAAAGATAGGAGAAGAAGAAGAATTCGTTCTGCTATTTTATGCTACATTTACAGCGAGAATTTCATTCAGTCGGCTGAACGGAAGAATTAAGGAGATCGTGTTTATACACGGACAATGATCGAACGCTTAATACAATTAATTATTGATATCAAAGGTACTTTCGATAATATTTGCATTGCCGTGATTAACGATGTCTTTTTACAATAAGTACTTTTCACAGGAGATTCTTATAAAAAGAAAGAGAAGGAATATGTCTTGTAAAAATATAAATTTCTCATTTACATTAAGTATCTTGGTCGTGGTCGACACATTAAAAAGCGTCTTTTATAAATTAAAACAACTAAATATCACTTTTTCGTCCCTTTATGTGGACACTGTCTTTGTGATACCAGTGAAATTCTATAATTGTACATTATCGTTCAAAAGTATTAGGACTCTTGTTAGTGACATTTTCAAATTTTATAGGAATTATGAATTTTTAATATTTAACATATTCACTGCCATTGTGAATGTAGGTATTAGTAAGATGTACATTGCTGACTACCTAGGTTTAGGTACTCAATTTTTTAGGGAAAATGGCAATATAGGTACAGTTTCGAATATTAGTCTCAACACTAGTTGATTTTTTTAATTTCAATTTTTAAATTTTCAAACTCAAATTTTCTTAATTTTTAATTTTCAATGTTTCAAATTTAGTAATTAAAAAATTGAGGAACTGAGAAGTTGAGAAGTTGGGAAATTTAGAAATTTGGGGGTTCGAAAATTATCAAATATACAAACTTATGAATTCTTTAATTTAAAAACTTGACAAATTTAAAAAATTATCAATTTCAAATTTTTCAAATTTTTAAATCAATTTAAAAGTATTAAAAATACGAAAAATTTTTGAATTGGAGCTTTCAATATACTATCTTACTTAACCTTAATATAATATCAATTTTATTTATAATTTTTCTAGTATGAACTTGAGAAACTGATGATTTCACGTTTGGCAATGAACTTGTTAATTAATCTAATTAATTTAACAGAAATATTTGTGTTTAAAGGTTTTTTCACAAAGCTTTTTTTTTAATTTAAAAGACGTTTAGTTTCTGTCAAAAACATTAATTGTCAGCTGTAAGTAGGTGTGAGAAGAGAGCAAGATGGGATTGTGTCGAAGAACACAAAATTAACATTTATATCTTTATAGAAGTTACCTCTTCTCAAAACCTATACAATTTTTTTATTTTTTCAGTTTTAATATTTCTCAAAATTTGTACCTTATTTTTCTTCATCTTTAATCTTTAATATACAAATTACAATCTCCAGAAAACCAAATTAAAGATGACCAATTAGATTGTTTTTCACTCTATTTATTTTTGTGTTTATAAAGATTATTCATAAATAAAAATGTCTCATCAAATAACTAAAGAAAAAGGGACTCATAATTTTTTAATTTATGATTTTCTCAGCAGTTGCATCAGCGAGAGGTAAATAATTATTGCTGCAATAAGACAAATAAAAAAAAGTTAAAATGCTAAATATATTTTTCCTTAATTTCACGAATTTTAATTAGCATTGAGTTCCAAATTCAATCAGAGTGCGACTACGATTTGGGTTTGTTGTATCTGACTTGTATTGTGCAGAGTGGGACACGATATTATAAATCAAAGGGTTAAATGATCGATAATTTGAAGCAGAGGGTGCAGTTCCACTGTTATTCGCAAACTGCCCCTAATCATCTACAGACTACGAACTATGCATTTGTCACACACTGAGATCTACAAAATATAAATAAAACATATGATCTATGAAATCCACAATTTACAGATTATGTTTATTTTGTAGACTTCGACACATCCGCAGTCTATTTATAAGATGTCAAATATAGTGTCCTCAAGAGATGTAGCATCCCCATCTTGCTTTCCTAACCTCTTACTGCTGCATAGTTTTTCTTAAGTGCTCATTATGAAATACGAGTATCAATTTTAGACTAGTATTTTATAGAACACTAATATCGAATGACAAAACCTATCTCAACTATAGTTTTCACGTGTTAACCAGTTAACTGTGGCGATCTTTTTGCAAAGCACACACCAGTGCGTGTCGCGATAATCAAGCGATGACGAATTAGTTCTCAAGAATTTATGAATCCATCTCAAATCATTTACACTTTTTATTTGTTTATTTCATTTCGTGTTGACCTCTAAACATTTTAAACATATTACAATTTACGAATATGATTTATTTTTGACCAAAATTACAATTTAAATATCAAATTGTAACAAAATTTTACGCATGACGGATATAGTCGTCATGACACAAAATTCTGCCACATCTCCATGATGGATATAGTCGTCAAACACATTTAACTGGTTAATGATCTGAGCGAGAAGTTAGAGTATCCAAAGATTTTTGAACGATAGTGTAAGTAGCTTAGTGACAGGATCGATTCGCTACGAAAAACTGATGCGTTTCACTTCGCTACTGAAAACTGTTCGAACAATCTATTCTCTCGGTGAAAATATGCTGGTACGTTCTAAATATACAGTGCCGTGCTGTACCGCGAGTGCATATAGGTGGATAAGAATAGCCCAACAATAATGCAGTTGCTTTCAATTACGATTCCATCACTGAACATGATAATTGACGTGAATTAAATAAACATACTGTACGTAACATTTCATCGGAATATTTCAACTAATCACCGATTTCTAGTCTCAATCTTAACCGTACGGAACGATTCAATTTTACTACTATCGCTAATCGAATTAAGTGAGGGATCAACGAGGTGAGGCCAGAAAGTTCATCGGGATGTATCGCTTAATTTTTATCGGTAACGGTAATAACAAGTGTACATTGGCAGTTTATCTTGTGTTTGTTGTACAGTAATATTCCGTTTTATATTATTGTTAAGTCGTATTATTGTTAATTTCCTTAATTTTGTATTATTGTAATTTCCTAATAAGGGCGCTGGTCCGCTTGGATTTCAAAGTGGTGATTGTTCTGTATATGAAATTAATATATTTTTAATTTTAACGTTGCATGTGAATTATGAGAAAAATTTGAAGTTTGCAAAAATTGTGCATCACGAAATATATGTATAGCAGAGTTATATTGTACAGTAATGGCGGTGGTAAACATATCGGATTTTAAATCTATAATATGTAGTTTGGATTCGCAACCAGTTGGGAGAAATATTTTTTTTAACAAGAAATAACGTAAATGAGTACGGAATTTTGAATTATTTAATGAGTATTTTGTTATAAATATGTTGTATTTTATTTTTCCAAAAAGTGGCATATACATGTATTTTGAAATTAAATTTGATTAATGATAAATAAAAAGTTAGTAGAATGTAATATATTTATAATTAAATGCTTATACAATAATTAACAAAAATTCAAACAAGAATTAGAAAATATTTTCACATTACTAAATTTTCAAATTTTCAAGTTGCCAAATTATCACATTTCAAAGTTACAGTAAATGAAATTCACAATTTTTTAATTTTCAAATTTTCAAACTTTAAATTCTTACTGTATCAATTTTTCAATTTTTTAATTTTCCAAGTTACAACACTTCAAAATTTCCAAACTCTCAAATTTACATATGGTTGCACATATATATACTTATTTAAAAATAGATTGTTAAATTAATAATGAAAAGTGAATAAAAAATGATATTTATAACAGAACACAAAATAATTTGCGTTTATTGTTTAAAAAAAAATTTCTTGCAACAGAATGCGAACCCTGGACAACAGATTTGAAATCCAATACATTTACCACTACATAAAAATCACTATAAAATAAATTTAGCTTTTAATACTTATTTATGTGCAATGTAGCATCGTTTTTTAAACTTCAATTACAGTTTTCTCATAATTGGTTCACTATGTGATGTGAGAAATAAGGTTATGTTTATTTCGTATGTAGAACTATCATTAAAATCATTAATGATAGTTTATTAAAATCATTAAAGTTTAATAAGATCATACTGAAAGTTTTCCTTGAAAGCTTTCCATCGAAAGAAATCTTGTTCTCTCTGCAATTAAATTCACTGTACGTAATCCTAACTTTCAAATCTTCTACGGAATAGAACGTATTAAATAAAAAAAAATGGTGAACTTTCTGACCGTTCCCGAATAGGATCAAGTACCTCAGCACCGGAAGTGTGTACAGAGTACAGAGTGTCAAAAAAGTAATAGTTTATACAGGTGATTTCCTACATCACCTTAGACAGGCATTTGCAAAAGAACCCAATAAAAAGTAAAATCATTTAAATTAAAATTCAAAGTTCTTCTCAAATTTACATATTTTCAAGATTTACCTAAAAGTTACTTGTTTTATAAACAGTCATAATTTAAATAAATTGTATAATAAATTCAATTTAATAATAAATAACTGTATTAAAATTTATGAGATTTAATAAATTCCTTTGACATATTTACAACGCTAGAGCTCTCACAATGCAGTTGTTGAAAGAGGACTGCATTTAAATAACTTAGCCTCCATCTTTCAACGTTCAACTTCAGTGCCAACGGTGTATTAAACATTTCCCAAAAGCCGTCGAAAAATTAGTTCATAAAATTAAAATAAAGGCACACGAAATTAGAAGACCCAGAGCTGATTTCGCAAGCTTGAAAATCCGATGACTTATCGAGATCTGCACCCACATTTAAACAACGAACTTGTTAACAAGGTTCCACAACAAAATTAAAAAACGTCTTCATTAGTTCCTCTTGCAAATGCCCATGCATGATGCGGAGAACTTCGGACTACCATTATGTCCCTATCACTCTTTCCATACCGTGTATAAGCACCGGATTCTTCAAATACACTACCGTTCTTGGTACTGCAGCTCACAAGTAGCCACATATGAGTGTCCAAAGTGGCACTAGCTACTGTAACACGTTTTACGCACATCGGCAAGTATTACACTGAAGTCGTCGTCCGCTTTCGGCACGTGTTCCATGTTCTGAGACTGCTGTCCCTGCTGTGGTTGTTGTTGCTGCTGTTGTTGTTGCTGCGACGGGTGCTCTTGATACTTCGTCACATCCATACCCTGATGGTACTGATCCATCGCGTGACTCATAGCCACGTTCGAACACCGAGTGTCTTTATTTTGATCGTCGACGATACACTGAGAATTCGACATGTCCAGCTGAGTCTGCTGAGGGGCATAGTAACGCAAATCACTGGCATAGTTGTGATTGCTGTCGAGCAAGTTCTGAGACGAGAGACTGCTGTGACCCACGTTGCTCGAGTGCGAATACTTGAAGTACTTTTCTAGCTGCAGAGTCTGCTGCTGGTCGTCGTCCGCAGTCATTCCGGGGTCCATGTGACCCAGGATCGAGTGCTGCTGACCCGTGCTGGTGCCCTCGGTTTGGTACTCTTGGTGGTGAGTCATTTGGTAACGATGTGATACACCTGGAACGTGATTCGTAGGAGGATTAGGAGGATTTGTTAGATGTCAGCTTTGCTATTTATGAAATGGTACGAAAATGGGGGGTATATTTAAAGGATCTGGCGAGTACAGTAAGATTTGGATTATTTCTGAACCAATAGGAGTTCAATCAGATCCACAGATTTCAGAATTTACAATTTTCTAATCTTTCAAATTTCCAAATTTCCAAATTGAAAGATTCTTAAGATGTCAGATCAACATTTGTAAATTTTCAGGTTACCAAATTTCCTAATTTCCAAATTCCTAAGATGTCAGATTAGTATTTGTAAATATTTAGGTTACCAAATTTCCTAATTTCCAACTTCCGAAAATATCAGATCAACATTTGCAAATTTTCAGGTTAAGAAATTTCCTAATATCCAAACCCTGAAATTACTCAAATCCCCAAATACCTAAACTAATGTACAATCGATTGCGGTTAACTAAATACCCTTGACCACTGGAATTAGTCCAAGAGTAACGAAACCAGGACAAAGTGTAGGAGGTACAGCCGAGACAAATAAAGATAGTAGAAGTATAATCGGGGCAAATAAAAATGGAGGAAGTATTACCGGGACAACCTTCAGCGGCTCCACGGATCCCCATGGATTGTTGTCGATTGGCACACTGAACAGGATTATAGTTGCTCTCGACGGTAGACTGCATCGAATAGTTGGCAGTCTTCGACGATTGGCTACTTGTATAGTGCTGCAACGATTGATCGTGTGGGGATGCGACCGGTGGGTAAAAAGTGCCCGTCACAGAGCCAACATTTTCAAATCCTGAACGCAGTTTATTGCATGACACCATCATGCCGTTTGCGATGCCCACCGCGGCGATACTCGATGGTTGTCTTTCGAAATTTAAATAACTTACCTAGAATGATAGAATGGGGAATATATTTAGTAAATTGTATGATGTTACACAGTTAATTCGTTGGACTTAATTTTACTAATTATGAATACATTGCAATTTATGATAACTGTAATGGAATGATAGTAAATAATGGATGTAGAGTTGTCATTGAACTCATCTTTTTGTAAATAATTATATAGAATATTATCATGGTGTATACACCATATATTATAATATATATCATACAGTTATATCGTACATTTAGTGGTATATCACTGAACAGTTATTTAGAAGAAAAAATGCAACGCTGTAAATCTGTTAAACTGTGGTCTGCAAAACTATTTTAAGGTTAACTTTACACCCCTAAATTTTAATTTTTACTTAAATAACTTGTTTAGTAAAAATCTTACATGGTCAAAGCTTTTTACATTTGTTATTACCTAAGTAGTTATGAACAAAACTAAACGATAATCAGACAAAATTTAATTGTAGAATAGCGTTCGCAAAGAATGATATGTTCAAGAGGATATCTTTAGACTATACACATAAATTTAAGAACCTCTTTGAATATTAACATGGCGAAGTTACACATCTATCTTATATTTGTTTGTAATATTTAAATGATTCGTTTATGTAGTACTTACTGATTTCTTATAAGTTAGAGTGTCAGTGTAAGCACCAGAATTCTGACACGATGATATGCTAGTTCCACCAGCATGACCCGTGTGCAGTTGATTATCGGTACTCATAAAAGTGTACCGCTTCGTTTGTTCATTCATTTCGTTGTGCTGCTTAGACGAACCCTCCATTAGATCTCTTTCTGGATCTGGATTTTGCGTAGATGGCAAATGCGTTCCGTCACCTAAACAAAGATTAAATGACTAATTAATCGCCATATGAGTACAAATTCATTTTTGCTGCGACCTTTGACGTATAAATATTTCTAAACCATTTAAAATTGATAAAATTGTTAAAAATTGATAAATTATTTATTCCAAAGATAGTTGTTGTCTCTGTACTTATTTCTGACCAAAAGATACCTATATTTAAATAACAAATTATTATTTATAATTATAAAATTCAAATATTTGAAATTATAAACTATAACTTATAATTACAAAATTCGTACGAACACTTAAAATTATAAACTAAAATTTATAATTACAAAATTTATTCGACCATGAAGAATTATAAATTGTAATCTATGACTATAAAATTCGTTGAAATACTCAATCCCAGAAAATACGAACAGTGAAATGTAAACCGAGCGAAGAAAAATGAAGAAAATACGATTAGCAGAGAATCGTTTCTGGTACTCGCGATTTAATCGTGGAAATTCAATTCTTGGAGTTCCAAGACTGTCTGAAAGGTAATTAATGCGAGTACAAACTCTCACCATCTGGCTCGGGACTGGCAACTGGAGATATGTCCGGTGTGTGAATAATAGGCGTATAAGGGCTACCGTACAAGGAATTGCTCTCCGATTTGTACTCCTGGATACCTTGCTGCTGCTGTTGCTGGTGATACAGGGATGAGATCGGGGAATGGCCACCCCATGGGATCTGAGGAATGCCTTGATAACTGTCCATCTTGGACCTTCAACAAATCACCAGGAAAATTTTATTATTCTTCTATTTAGAATTGCTAGTTTAGAATTACTAGTTTATTAATCAGTATCATTAGTTTATCGCGTTAGTTTATCATCTCTAGTTTATTGCATTTATTATTTGAACGCGTACATTAATTTATATTGTTTCTATCTTTCAACTGTACTTTCAACTTCAAAGTAAGCTTAATTTAACTCTTTCACTTATAATGTCATACTCGTGACATATTATAATTCAGATACAATAAATTAAAATCATATTTGTAGAACAATTGAGTTTGAAATTTAATACCAATTACAGTTTGCACAATCATAAATCCTTAAATTCAAAATGTACCTAACATTTCAACTTTCCTTATTTGTCTTAACATTTCAGCAATAATTAATTAACTCTGAATGCCGCACGCATCGAAAAAATCATAGGTCAAGGGCTTAATATTGAACAATTCCTATTTTTAGCGATCGAAAGAAGTTTGCGTTGAAATGATTCTTGATCAAAGCTTGCGTTTAAGTTCCTTATTGTAACTTAAAAAATTTGATTCTCATCAAGATAAACCATAAATGCATACAACAATTTAGTAAACAATTATTGTACGTTTTATTACAATTATTTCATTATACAATATTATACATATATGCAATTATTTTACTAAATAATTTAGTAAATAATTTTACTAATAACTTTAACTAAATAATTTTACTAATAATTTTAACTAAATAATTTAGTAAAATAGTAATTTGATAAACTTCGAAGTAAGTGTACTTTAGCATCGAACAATTTTGACAAAAATTCAAAAGCAAACGTATAAAATTCATATTTAGAATTCTTTATCTATCTGTTGATGATTAATTTGAATCGATCACAGTAAGATATTGAACAATCGATACGAACCGAGATATGGACTTACATGGAATGATGAATTGTGGTACCAGAAGGGTTGGACCTATTGCCGGTGGTATTCGTAGCGGACGGGGGTGAGGAGGGTGCACCTGGGGCCCTTTTCGCGTGTTTCCTACGACGTGGCCTGTACTTGTAATTCGGATGTTCCTGCATGTGAATAACCCTCAGCCTTTCCGCCTCCTCTACGTATGGCCTTCTGTCCTGTGGGGTCAACCCTCGCCATTTCTTTCCTGAAATTCACGGATGGTACATTAGTTACTTGCAAACTCCTTTGTCATTATTTACCCTTTGCGCTCGAAAGTATTTTTTGTATCGACAAAACGCCTCTGAAGCAAATCTGAAACTTTCTGTTTCATAGTTTGATGAATTTTTTGGATTCATTATTTCTCTATCGTTAATCACTGTTGTCTGTTTGTTTGTATACTGTGGATTTAATGAATTTATATTTATGTAATATGTATGTTATGGGAAATGTGTTCAACACTGGTATTTTGTAAAATGATCGAACATTTTCAATGTATAAAATGTTCGACTATTTTATAAAATGCCCACGTTGCACACATTACTTGTAACACATATGTATATGTTTATATGTATACTACATTTATATGTACTATAACACTATAACACTATGTTTGTACGCTCTATGTGTTATCTGTATTATATGTATTATATGTGTTTATGCATTATATGTGTCATATGTGTCATATGTGTTATATGTGTCATATGTGCTATATGTGTTATATGTGTTATATGTGTTACTTGTGTTATATGTGTTATATGTGTTATATGTGTCATATGTGTCATATGTGTCATATATGCTATATGTGTTATATGTATAACTTGTGTTATATGTGTTATATGTGTTACTTGTGTTATATGTGTTATATGTGTCATATGTGTCATATGTGTCATATGTGTTATATGTATTATATGTATGTGTGTTATACATATGTGTCATATGCGTTATATGTGTTAAGTACTATGACACTATGCTTATACACTATAAATAAAAAAATAATGATTTCAGATTGTTCAGTTAAATTAAATATTTCATTTTAATAGTTAATAGTGTTTCATTTCTCGAGTGCAAAGGGTTAATACTTTGCTCTATTTTTAAGGTAAACTATATTTTTAAGGTACTCAGAGATCTGAGTGCTTACCGATGGTCCAAAATGAAATGCTGCGTGAAAAATAATGAGAAACCATATAAGTAGATGCTGTACACTAATTATTATTATAGTAATAGATAATAGTACAATTTTTTGTGTTGATTAATATTTTACTGATACTTGTTTTTCAAGTTATTTTTCAAAGTTTTTCAATACCAGTCTACAAATTCCAAAATAACCCAAAAAAAATTTGCCTATTTCCCAAAACAAAAGCTTGAAAATTCAAAAACTCAATCCAAACACTCTAAAAAAGAAGGGTTTTGCCCCAAAAATTTGCCCCAATCGACAATCCAAAAATGTCCAAATTTCAAGCCTTATCAGATTATCCCAAAGAACAAAGACCTAAAAACAAACCAACACTAAAAATTCGTTCTCACATAAAAGAAGCAAACGTATCGATTGTATGTTTATCGATTCCGTATCGATAGGTTGGTATTCGCAGCGCCTAATTGCCCGTCGCTTGGCTACATAATCGAAGGAGGAAGCGGAAAAATGGTCGAACGAGCTCTCGGATACGAATTACAGACGGGGCTTGGCCACTCAAAGACGGCCAGGTTGGAATCTGGCTTAGTTCAATATACCGGGCGTATGGTAGGCTGGAATATCATTAAGCAAGGATAAGGGTTAATACGAACGTAAGATGTTCACGACAAGAACGAAAAAGTTGAGCAAGGCGGATGTATATGGTGTGGCCGTGTACATAGACGGCATACATATGTAGACCGGGGGATCGGCGTACATACAACGTTGAAGCCGTATGGATACATAGGCGCATGGGGGCGTAGATATGGGTGCGCCCGTGCCTTCAGCCAGCCACAAGGCACGAACCATTATTTCATATTTCATTTTGTATATTTCAACTCCCAAGAGGAGAGACGGTAAACCTGAACGACTCCGACGAAGGGAGGAAGATAGGAAATAAAGAGAAAACGAACGGAACGGGTGAAGAGGCAAAAAAATCGACGGCAGGGGGGAAGAAAGGAAGGGGTCGCATCCTCTATCTCCCAGCAAAGTCCATTTTTGTCGCCCAACAGTTCTTCTTCTTCTTCTTCTTCTTCGTCCGCTGTGGACCCTCGCCTGCCCCTTTTTTGCGATACGCGTTTTCGTTACCGAGACAGGGTGGGTATTCGCGATGGATCGAATCGAAATGTGCCTCCGAGTCGTTCAACGCTCGATGGAATGTCGCTCGTGTACTTGCGCCTTCGATTTCGCGATAAGCAGCCAAGGTTTCTTCACTGATTTTTCATTTCACGGTGTTGTTTGCGACTTTGTAACTTTGGTGTCGGGTTCTGATGGAGGAAAGGGATATTATGTACTATTTAGATGGTATACTCAATTTTGTAGGTGAAAGAGGTTTCTTTACAGGTTTTGAATTTGGCGATATTATTTGCCACTTTATTCCTCTTATTAGTTTATTAACTTGTTCCTCTTAGCTTCTATAGAAAAAAGTGATATTATGTATCATTTGGATCATATACTTGTGCTGTTTAATTTAGCAAAGAGGAGTGTCAAGGTAACTTCACATATTTTTTACTTGATGGTGTTGTTTACAACTTGGATCCTTTGGTGTCGGGTTCTGATGGAGGAAACGGATATTATCTGCTATTTAGATGGTATACTTGTGTTGTTCAATTTTAAAATGAAAAGAGTTTAGGTTTCTTTACAGATTTCGGGCTTGATTTTATTATCTATGATCTTATCTCTTTTGTTATAGTTTGTTGTGTTTTTAATAGAGAAGAGGAATAATATCTATTATTTGGATTATACATTTGTGTCGTTCGATTTAACTGAAAGGAGAGCCAAGGTTTCTTCACTGATTTTTCATTTGACGGTGTTGTTTGCGACTTTATTCCTTTGGTGTCTGGCTCTGATGGAGGAAAGTGATATTATGAATTATTTGGGTGGTATATTTGCGTTGTTCAATTTTGCAGGCAGAAGAGTTTAAGTTTTTTTACAGATCTTGGATTTGACAATATTGTATACCATTTCGTTTCTTTTGTTTCAAGTTTCCACAGAGAGAAGCGATATTATGTACCATTTGGATGATATACTTGCACTGTTTAATTTAGCAAAGAGGAGAGTCAAGGTTCCTTCACAGATTTTTTATTTGACGGTGTTGTTTGCGACTTTGTTCCTTTGGTATCAAGTTCTGATACAGAGAAGTACCATTACATTATTAGGATGATATACTTGCGTTGTTCAGTTTTCAAATGAAATGAGTTAGGTTTCTTTGCTGATTTTGGATTTGATTATGTTATCTATGATCTTATCTTCCTTGATGTAGGTTTCGACAGAGAAGAGGAATAGTATTTATTACTTGAATGATATTGTATTTGTGTCATTCGACTTAGCAAAGAGACGAATCAAGGTTTCTTCAAAGATTTCTGATTTAACAATATTTCCTATTTCATCCCTTTTGTGTAAGGTTTTTACAGAGGCTTTACAAAGGCTGTACATATTAAATATTATTTAGATGATACATTTGAGTCGTTCGATATAGCAAAAAGAAGAGTCAACGTTTCTTTACGAATTTCTGATTTGACGATGTTATTCGCGATTTTGTTCCTTTTATTTTAGGTTATAATGGAGAAGAAGGATATTATGCATTATTTGGATGATTTTATAATGCAAGGTCAAGTTTTTGTAAAAAATTTTTTATTTGACAATGTCATTTGTGATTCCGTTTGTGATTTTGTTTCTTCTATTTTTAGGTTATGATAGAGAGGCGCTACATTATGCATTATTTGGATGATCTACTTGAGTCATTCAATTTTGTAATACAAAAAATCAAGTTTTTGTCACAAATTTTCTACCTGACAATGTTATTTATGATTCCACTTGTGATTCTGTTCCTTTTGCATCAGGTTTCGATAGAGGAAAAATACAATATAATTTAGATGATATAATACAACGCCAATTGATCTTGCAATCAGGGAAGCCCCGATTCCTCCATAGGTTTCTGATTTGACGATGTTATCTGTTTTGTTTCTTTTCTTGTAGGATTTGATACAGGAAAGATACTATAATATTATTTAGATGATATAATCACTTGCGTCGTTGGTTTCTGTAATAAAAGGAGTTCTTTTTCATAGATTCTTAATCTGACGGTGTAATCCAATTAAGATGTCGTCTCAGATTTTTTATTTGATGATAATTCTTTTGCTTCCTATTTCATATTTCTATGAAAGGAATGCATGTTATGTGTTATTTGGATACCGATTTTCATCAGTTAATTTCGCAATGAAGAGCTCAGGTTTCTTCAGGGATTTTTATTTTCACAGTTCATTCCTTGACGATGTTATTTATGATTTTGCTGTTTTTATTTTAGGTTTTGATAAAGGGAGAGTGTATCATGTATCGTTTGGATGGAAAAGTACTTGCGTCGGACAATTTTATTATAAAGAGTCAATACGTCCTTAAAAATATTTTATTTGACTGTGCTATTTACGATTTTGCTTTTTTGTTTTAACTTTCGATAAAGGTATGTTATGAATTACTAGGAGGTTGGTGTATCAGCATACTTCTATTTCGTATCTATAAGATTAAAGTTTCTTTAGAAATCTTTTATTGGATAGTTTATTTGCTGATTGTGTTTTATTTACTATTCCGTTTCTTTTTATTTGAAATTTTAATTAAGGGAAAATGGTATTATGTGTCGTTTAGACACTAAAGTGCTAACGTGGTTTGATTTCATCTAATTCGATTTTCAAAAAGTGTCACGGTTTCCTCTGAGATTTTTTATTTCACGGCTTATTTCGTGACGTGACTATTTTTAACTTCTAGGAATCTAGGAATTTAGAAATTTGATAATTTTTTGATATTCGAAATTCAGATATTTGGAGATTTGGAAATTTAGGTAGTCAATTCAGAAATTCACAAGTTAAGCCACTTCAAAAGTTACACTTCAGAAATAAAAAATTCGAAAACTTTCAAAAGAAATGTATTGAAAATTTTCTAGCTGCATAATTTTCTACCATGAAAACTTGAAAATTCGCAAAAATAGTTCACTAGCGAATATATAGATTTAGTATACATTCAACAACCAAAATAATTGATTA